TATATATATATATATATATATATATATATATATATATATATATATATATATATATATATATATATATATATATATATATATATATATATATATATATATATATATATATATATATATATATATATATATATATATATATATATATATATATATATATATATATATATATATATATATATATATATATATATATATATATATATATATATATATATATATATATATATATATATATATATATATATATATATATATATATATATATATATATATATATATATATATATATATATATATATATATATATATATATATATATATATATATATATATATATATATATATATATATATATATATATATATATATATATATATATATATATATATATATCCTTAGTATTTACAATTTTTCAGATATTTGCCTATTGCTCTCTTGTGTGTATTAAGCAGTGCGTAAGCGAGGCGCAACTCTGCGCTGGAGTTTAGACCGGGTTTGTTTTGGTCTAATGAAAAATCTATTTTAGTTTCTCAAAATAGCAACGCGCCAGCGGTCCGCCTCAGAACGCCTTCCTTTTTAGACCAGAACGCCTATGGGCGCACATATGAGCGCTAGTGCATTTGCTATTTAAACAGCTTAGCGCAAAGCCTCAAAACGACTCTTGCGCCAAGCTGAAACTACCAAAAGACTATTGCGCTGCGCCTTGCGACACACTGCGCCGGGTGTATGATAGGGCCTAAAGTGTCGCTTTTGACTATGGAGGTACGACTGCGCTGGCTGATTGTATCCCTGCTCATAGTATACTATATAGTTTGAATAGACCACTGTAGACAAACTATACATTTCGAGAATGAAGCACAGCTACGGCTGGAAAATAATGTTTTAATGCATCGCAAACGGCGAAGGCGAATCGCACGTCACTTCAGGAGGAGGCGTATATTACTTTAGCTAAACTGCGACATGGTCATCTTTCCGAAATATTACCAACGGTCCATAAGGTGATGTTTTCCCCCTCTCTCTCTCTCTCTCTGTTGGTAAAACGCTGTCAACAAATATTTTTCCCACATATCCCATAATGCACAGCACATCGGCCTACGGCAGCTGGATTAGTGCAAAAAGGCGCAGTACTTTTTGCGGTTGAGTCTGTTTTATTTCGGATCATATTCTCACCACAAATGAACCACTAAAGGGTTGGTTTGAAAGCGTACCGAGACCGCTTTTTTGGTGCGCACCTGAGTGCGATTGCTACATTCACACCTGCCCAAACAAACCGCACCAAGAGGGAAAACGAACTCTAGTGCGATTCAACCGAACTAAATAAGGCAGGTGTGAAAGCACCCTTAGCTTATGCGGGTCCAGCTGTGGTCAATCATAAGCATGCTTCATCAAGTCAAATTTACGAATTTTAAGATCCTTTATAGGACTACCAAGAGTTAAATTTCAGACGTATACAGGGTTAAACACTAAAGATTTTCTCTAATGGCTCGGTATTATCTTGAGGAATCATGTAATTGTTTTAGATTAAAATTTCATTTCGGGGCTTTGCTGAAAAATGTCTAACAGCAGTTGTGAAATCTCTTTGCGATAAAAAAAAGTTTATAAAAATATGGTTTTATTGAGATGTATTGTTGGTGATTGGACAGATGTTGGCCCGATTGAGCAGTTTTACACATTTTTATTTCAAAATGAAGACCTAAAACAAAATACTTTTAGGAATTTTAGACTTTTTGTAAGGCCTAGTGGACACCCTGCTTATAACTAAACATCACAAAGAGGTGAGGGAAAATCGTACGTTTTAAAATTCACGCAGTGATCACGTTTACAGCTTAGGAATTTCTTTACAAATTTAAACAAACACACATTCACACACAATATGAAAAACAAATGAGGCTGTACGCCATTTCTGAACCTGTCAAAATGGCTTTTTCAGATTGTATGCAATGATGATTTTGATGATTTAACTACATAAATGTAAGAGCCATAAGTTAATAGTTTTATTTATGTTAAATTAATAATAACATGAAAGGCAAAACTTGAATATATTGTACTAAATTATTTAATTTTTAATATAGAGGACCAGCTGATGTGCCATCTGAGAAGGATGAAGTTGTCTCATGAAGACGGGAGCAAAACTGTTGACCGTGTAACGTAGTTCAGTTAAATTGTTATTAAAACTTTGTTCGA